AAAAAAAAAAAAAAACAGAGCAGCCTTCCTGCGGCTGCCTTTGAATGGTGCTTACGGCCAGACGGGACGGGGGGCAAAGTGCCCTTCACGCAGCTGTCCTGGAGGCGCAGCCCCCGCGCCCGCAGGCCGCTTTATATTGGGGCAGGGGAAGCTCCCTCAGCATCTCCTGGGGGCTGGGGAGGGGGGAGGAAGAGGAGCTGGGAGGAAGCGTGGGTTTGACTTGCCCGATAAGGCAGGCGGGCAGCAGCCCCCTCCCACCGCGCAGCCCTGGGATGTCCCGGCCCGCTGCGCGCTCCGCGCACTCGTCCCACCTGCTGCGCGCAGCCTGCGCGGGGCCTCCGCGCCTCCCGCCCCGCCGCGGAGGGCGCCCGGCCTTGGGGACGCGCAGCTCGGGGGCAGCCCCGTCATTCCCGGGGACACCGGGGTGGCTTCAGCGTCTCTTCTCCGCCAGCCCCGGGGGGCCGAAGGCGAGGCTTGGAGGAGGAGGAGGAGGAGGAAGGCAGATAGCGCTGCTGCTTCCTCTCAACGATGGAGGCAAAGCGTTTTGTTTTGTATTCTTTTCAATCTTGAGAGAGTTTCGGATGAAGACGTGGCTACTTGGGCTCTTGGTTGAAACTCTTCTTACATAGCACAAGTCTTTTTTTTTTTTTTTTTTTTTTTTTTGAATTCCAAAAATTAATTGGGCATTTTTTTTTTTTTTTTTTTTTTTTTTTTTTTTTTAAGGGGATAAACACACCGTGACATACGTGCCGTGTCCAAAAGCAGGATTTGGCAATGTTTAAGTATGTAGCCACTTTTATTTTATTTCTTTTCTTTTTTTTTTCTTTTTGGAAAGAACAAGCACTTGAGGGGAGGCAGCCAGGAGTTAAAAGGTTAAATGATTTCCACTGCTGTTAGTATAAAGACAGTGCCTTGAGATAGACATCGTTAAACTGTTTGGCTACATTTTATTATACTGTGGTATAGTATTATTGTTGGTAACTGATGTGTACAGAGTAACACTATGGTGCTCTTTCTAGGTATAATTGAAGACATTGTGTGGTCCTTATAAAAAGCTTGGTTCCTGCCTGGGTTTTAATTGCAAAATATTGTTTGGGATTTTTGTGTAGATAATTGGATTTTGGATCTGCTTTAAAATATGATAAAGGCAAAACCAATATTAAATAAATTGACTAGAGGTCAGTCCTTGCAAATTTGCATATTTTAATTTGAAAGTTACTTGTAATATATAAAGCTCTTATCTCTTAGGTGTTTTACTAGCTTTCCATTTAAATTCTTAAGTCTGTGTTTCTCCTTTGTAGTTAATACCTTTAAAGTATTCACAATCAAATATTATTTTTGGATGCTAGCATTGTTTGATTGTATTATGCATGCTTCTGTCCCACAAGGCGTTCACATCATATCTGCAATTTGAAAAGTAAGCTATGGGATTTTTTACATGCTAAAAAAAAAAAGTGGTGGCATTGCTTTTGTAGTATTGAGCCTTAAAATAGTGATCGGAGTGGTGTACACAAGTATGACACACACTAAAATATTGCAGGGAGATATTTTTACTTGTGCTGTTGAAGTTTTTGGTAGCTCTAACTCATTTAATGTCTAACCTCAAACATTTTATTGCTATTTAGTGTTTTTCTTGGGAACATTGGTATTAAACTAAAATTTCCTATTTACATCATGTAAAGTTTAATGTGTAAAGAGACAAGCCTACGAAAATATTATCCACTTTTAAACAAAATTGAGAATTATGTCTGTCATCAGCAGGTCACATTACTCTAGCTGAATACTTGTAGGCTTTTTTTGTGTGTGTAAAATACGTTGTAGTAGTGTCAAGTGAAAGGAAGAGTCACTTTAAGTGGCTGAAGTTTAGTCATGTTAAAGGCCAAGATCAAGCCAGAGGATGGCTAGGAAAGGCTTAGCGGGTATTAGCAGGTATTATAATACCTAGATTTTCTAGAGTCGCAAGTCAAAACGTGTGGACCCAGAGAAGAATCTCTGCGCTCTTCAGAAAATTAGGAAATGCCTTGGTCAAAAGAGGCCAAGCGAGGCATGTCCAGCTGACTGGCCGCCCCAGATGTGCCTCCCTTTTTTAACGGCTGATGCATTACTTTAACGTGCCTGATGCTGGGGGACCCTTTGGGCTGTCGGGGAACACGCTCATGTGCCGCAGTAGTGAATCTTGTCTCTCTTGCTGCAGGATTTCAGATGTGTGCTAAGCCTGCTGGAGTGAGCACGCTTCGGGACACCGATGGAGGCGAGAGCTCAGAATGGCAGCAGCTCGCAGCCCTTGCTACAGGCTCGCCGTGACACGGGGAGGCCGCACGGGGAGCCCGACCTGAGGGATGTCCTGGCGCAGCAGGTTCACGTCTTGTCTCTGGACCAGATCAGGGCCATCCGGAACACAAATGAGTACACGGAGGGACCGACGGTGGCTCCACGGCCAGTGGCCAAGTCTGCTCCTAGGCTAGCCACCCAGCACAAGAGTGAAAGGCCCCATGGCTTGCCTGAGCATCGCCACCTCGGCCGGGTTCAGCACACACAAACACACACTTCTCCTCGCGCAGCCCTGTCCCGCTCCATCAGCACGGTCAGCACAGGCTCGCGGAGCAGTACAAGGACCAGTACGAGCAGTAATTCCTCCGAACAGAGACTCCTAGGGTCGTCTTCGGGGCCCCTTGCCGACGGGATAATCCGGATGCAGCCCAAGTCAGAGCTCAAGGCGAGCGAGCTGAAGCCGCAGAGCAAGGAAGACCTGGGAGCTCATGCCTACCGCTGCGAGGACTGTGGGAAATGTAAGTGCAAGGAGTGCACGTACCCGAGGACCCTGCCGTCGTGTTGGATCTGTGACAAGCAGTGTCTGTGCTCGGCCCAGAATGTGGTGGACTACGGGACTTGCGTGTGCTGTGTCAAGGGCCTCTTCTACCACTGCTCCAACGATGATGAGGACAACTGCGCGGACAACCCCTGCTCCTGCAGCCAGTCCCACTGCTGCACCAGATGGTCTGCCATGGGCATCGTGTCCCTCTTCCTGCCTTGCTTGTGGTGTTACCTGCCAGCCAAGGGTTGCCTTAAGTTGTGCCAGGGCTGTTACGACCGGGTGAATAGACCCGGGTGCCGCTGCAAGCACTCGAACACGGTGTGCTGCAAAGGTCCCAGTGTGCCCCCCAGGAACTTCGAAAAGCCAACATAGCATCACTAATCGGAAGCATTAAAGTAATAAGGATTATTTTTTAGCATATGTATACAACCAACTAAGCAGCTATGGTCTTGGCACTGTAGTAGAAGGGTTGGGGATGTACTTTGCCGTTTGCAGTGAAATGCTTCTCTGTGCGTGTGCCATCTTAACTGATAATGCTTGTTAGGATCCAGCTAATGGGATGCGGGAAAAAAAAAAAGAAAAGAAAATGGGATGCAGTACATTGTGACCCACATATTGCATAAGCTAAAGCAACACAGACACTCCTAGGCAACTCCATTGTTTGTGAATAGTACTTGCAAAATTTGTAAATTAGCAAACGACTCCCTTTTTCATTGTTTTCTGCCAGAGATAATGTGCTATATTTTTGTATATACAATAATATTTTCAACTGTGAAAAAAAAAAGGTGGTGCCATGAGGAATGGCACAGTCACAAAATATTATACTAATATGTTGTACATTCGGAAGAATGTGAATCAATCAGTATGTTTTTAGATTGTATTTTGTCTTACGGAAACCTTATATTACAAGACTCTGATTTCCCTTTGGACTTCATGTATATTGTACAGTTACAGTAAAATTCAGCCTTTATTTTCTAATTTTTTCAACATATTGTTTAGTGTAAAGAATATTTATTTGAAGTTTTATTATTTTATAAAAAGAAATATTTATTTTAAGAGGCATCTTACAAATGTCACCCCTTTTTATGAGGACGTCAGTTGCTGCAAATAAGGGGTGAACGATGCATATGTTCACTATAAAATAGAAAATATATTAACGTTTGAAATTAAACTGGGCTGCTTGTCATTTTTTCCCCCATTTATTGCTCTGAGTTGGAAAAATCATTACTTTTGATTAAAGTAATATAGTCATATTGAGGCTAATATGATCAGTTGGATAACAAAAATAAAACTTTATAGTGCCTTTTTTTTTTTTACTGATTCACCTGAAGGTAACGCAGCATTTTTGTTTCTTTTACACAATTGTTATGTATATTCTTCCTACAACAGAAAAAGAAAATGAGCATAAGAAAATTCATTAATCCATTCCGGACTAGGACTAATAGGTACTGAAAGTTTGACCTATCCTATAAGTAAGTGATGAGCTTTTGTGCTTTAAATGGGAAACAAGCAATCATTCACAAAAAATGTTAGGCTTGCACAGCTATAGTGTTCAGAAGAAGGGGGAGAAAAAAAAGGAAAAAAGAAACTGAATATGGCCAGTGCAAAAAACTTGCAGGATTATTTATTAAAAGTAGAAGAACATGCCACAGGGAATGATGGATCTGAATGCAGTCCAGCCTTATGTCAAACATTTGCCTCACTTGTAAGAAGAAAGTTGCTTTATTTGTCATGTGTGGCAGTTACCTTCCACTGAGGTCAAAATCCTTTTGCTGCCAAGTTTCCCACCGGAAGTCTAGAGAATGATTTACCTTTCTTTATTAACAAACTATCATTTCCTGTTCTGAGCATGTCTCTCTGAGCTTCGAGGTCTTAAAGCTGAATTTTATTTATATATATCTTAAGCTGGCATTTAAGAAATGGTCGTAAGTATTTTTAAGCTGACGTTTAGAAAAATCTCACGGCCTTCTCTGAACCCTCTCCAGCAAAAACAAGTTATAACTAATAAATTAAGAACTCACTAAAAGTTGAAAACCAGAGCATTCAGCAAACATTACATCTTTTTGCGTCTTAATTTTAATCTGCGATCTGATGCTCAGCCTATTTGACATAAGTCCATAGTAGGCAGATCTTAGTCTGTGTGCTTGTGTGTGTGTGTATTTGTTATTAATCATCAAGTGAAATTAAAAAGTGAAAGTCCAAAATAGTTTGGAAAATGAAAATATCCAATGAAAATATGATATATAGGCCATAGGCCATGTTCTCTCCTAGGCTTTTTCTTTCTTTCTTTCTTTTTCTTTTTTTCTTTTCTCTGAAAAGAAGGCTGTTTTTCTTTCTTCTTTGTACCAGCTCGCTGGATACTTTGGCATACAAAGACAAGCAGTATATATTTAGCCTTTTGGGTGACATTTGTGAGGAAGAAGGTGGCATGTGTTATATGAGTAATTTGTCTGTTCTTAAAGGACACTGAGATACTGTGTCAGGGTATTTGAGACATATGCATGAGATAGATTGTACTTGGCTGATGACAAAAAGGAAGATAAAAATATTTAAATACTGAGGGTAACCTCCAGACTTCAAGCATTTCCATTCATCAAATATATTAGAATATAAATCAATGTATCACTTCAGATACTTATGCCTAAACTCTAAACAAGTGCTAGTCTTGCAATCATATTGCTTGAAAACTACTTTAGAAATAATCAAATACTCAGTTTATTTGGTGAATCTCTGAGCTTTAGGTTGTGTTTGGGAAACTAAAAGCCACTGATTTTTGTGCTCCTAAGGAGCTTGGTAGTGCTGAAGGCGAGCGCTCTGTCTTAGTAATTTATGTTTTAGTCCAGGGAGATATATCTAAATAAAGCTGAAGTGACCAAGTGGTGAGATGATTGGACAGGGCATCAGTCCAGTTAGATGCTGCTTTTGAGTCCTGGTACGGAAAGTTCAATGTCAAAATTTTAGGTTTGTTTCATTACATATACTAACGTCTATTTGATACTCTCTCTATACAGATAATTTCTAAGGGAAAGGGAAAATCATCTTTCTGTTGATAGTGAGATTTGAATCTGATCTTAACATGAAATAGTGGCCGTCACCTTCTTCTCTATTCTTTATAGGGTAGCTAGAGGACTGCTACACTCAGGTAAGCCTACCACTTACTTATGAACTGAGTTGTGTGATACTCAGGCTTTGGCTGAATGAGGAGGGATATAGGATGGTGGTCTTAGTATCGCCTATCAGGCTAAGCACTGTGCCAGGCTTCGTTTTGCACTAAATAGCCTGTGTGCCATAGAGTCTTAAATGTTTGCCTGTATACGTTCATTAACATCCTCCCGCTACACTTAATTAGATAAGGTTTACTCTTCTAAATAACATCAAAGTCTTGCCTCAAATAGATTAGATCACTTTAGTAAGAAGTAACAGGGCTTTTCAAGTGGATTGGGGTAGTGTTATTAGAGCATACTTACTTTGTCCAGAGGTAGGTCTAGGAGAGGCAAATTCTTCATACAGGCTTTGAGGATAATGGTGAGCATCATGCCACGTACATACAACCAAGGACTTTGATTTTAGACATCTATTAAGACAGAAGAGAATACTTTTTACTACTCTGTTTGTTATTTTTACATTAATGTTTTGATCTCTTAATCCTATAAATTCTGATGTCAATATATGGCTTGTTCAAGGCTGGAGACTTTTAGAGCTCTTCTGTCAGTTGATGATGGTAGTAATGGAACAAATAGTGTTTTGCAAATGATTCTTCCATATGATGTGAGCTATGAATAAATACATCAAATCTGGTTGTACAGTAGCTTAGGAATATCCTTAATAGCCTCAAGCATTTTATGATTATTTTTGTCCTGAGACTTGATTATAATTTCTGAGATAGTGATTGTAACAGAAAAAAAAATGATTTGAATGGGGCATAAAAGGTTATAGTATATTAGATGGAAATAAAATGTGTTCTTAAAGGATTTGAGATCACATTCAGATGAGTATTTACATACTAAAGTAAGTTACCAAGTTAGTCTTCAAAATCCAAAAATCTCCAGATGAAGAAGGGTAATACTTATGTGGACATCAAATTAATTCAATGACTTGATAGCTTTTTCTTTTATGCTTTCACATCAAGTCATCAGTTTATTTGAGGTAGAAAAGCACTGATTGCTTACTGAACAGTGCATAATTTCCTTACCATTTTTATGCACAGTATTACCTGATACTGTTTGTACTATGGTAAAAAATAAAACAGTCTATTTCTGTGATGAGTAAAATGTTAATGTTTATTCTTAAGTGGCAGGTACAGAGTAGAGTGTATTTCTGTACTGTAGTAGAACATCCCATTATTTTTAGGAATTAACTGTTGAGGAAGATGGATTCGAACAGCCTGTCTTGTCTCAGATGTTCCTAGATGGGTGCAGGTACAGCAAGTTATAATGATCTCACATGCCAAGACTAATTTCTCAATCACTCACTGGAACAGAGATCCAGAAAGAAATCTGGCTGAGTGTGAGGTTAGGTAATGGCTGTATGAATAGTATTTGGATAGATTTCTAGGTGAAAGTGTCAGCAGTGTATTGGATCATCTGAACTGAACTCATTGCAGATTTGGGCTGGAGGTAGAAATCACAGGTCTAGGCTGCAGGTAGATGGTGGCAAACCCTGCTGTGCCTCATTTATTTTTCTTCAAACAATAATAAAAACTTAATTTGATATATGTTTTTAGTAAAGCTTTTTTTTTGTATTTACAAAAGCGAAAGCCTTCACAAACTTTACACCTGATGTGAATCCAGGAATTTAGAAATAAAACAATCTGTCTCACTGAAATTGTGACAATTTGAGACAGAAACTTTCTGCATATGTATAGCACTTCTCCTTTCCAAACTACTTTCTGTTCAAGCTGAAGAGACTCCTATATGCTATTCGGATTTATTTCTCTTCATATTTCTTGTTTCTGGTGCCTATCTCTCCTTCTGACTTTAGTCAGGCTCAATATCTAAATGTTTACTGCTGCTTATTAAAGCATGCAGTAGATGAAAGAGGGGGATGAAGCATGCTTTTCTCATCAGGATCCTCTGTCTCTGAAAGTTTTAAGACAAGGTGGAAAAAATTATTACCTTGACATACTTGTCTCACATTTTTATAGAGATGTAAAGTGTTTTTCCATGCACATGACATTGAACGCAACAGTTCCAACATGTATGTTCTTTTCATCTATTTTACATGATTTCAGTTACTGCAAAAGCACAACCAGTTTGAAAATAGTTTATTTGTCATTAAGGAGCTCCTCTCTGTTTTAATTTACTGGTGGTGTATTTCAGATGGCAGAGATTGAGGTCTTTCTACTATGAAAATAAAACCTGCCAATCGCTGTTCCTCTGTCACAGTGATTGTTAAGGAGATAACAGATATATTTACCTTTAAGGATGAGTAGAGATGGTTTTGCTTGAAATCTGATGAGAGATTTGTTGTTTTCAACCTTGGGAAAAGGCAACATTTTGTACTAGGTATCCAAATTTTCTTTGGGGCTGGCCTGTTATCCCCTGCTACAATAAACTTTTTTTTTTTTCCTATGACTCAATCGCTGTATTTTGATTAGAGAAGCATATGGCTAAAATGTTTAAACTTGTAGACTAAAATGATCCGGTTCCCATTTCAGTAGAAGCTGCTAATAATCAGAAGTTTGACAATGGAGCAAACCCTTAATTAACATTATTTAGCAGGTATTTTACTACCTGGGAATTAAAGTACCCATTAAAAAGTCTACTGAGATATAATATATTCAAAATATATATATAAAAATATATAAATATATATATATAAATATAAATATATATATATAAATATATATAAGGATATTTTCCTTTCCTGGAGCCTACTGGATGATTACAAAAACATTCAGCACACCTGAGCTATGTTACAAGCAAAGGCACTTGATGCACATTAGAGGTGGCATGGCTTAGAGAAGGTGAGTCATTACACAAACGTATAGCAGGATGGGTCCCCAGCTCACAAATGTAGCTATCCCCTTAAGCATAATCTCCTGGGGTTTTATTTTATTTTGATCAATGTGAACACAGAACATATATGCGAATTTATCATAAATTGCCTGATTGTCGACGTAATTACTGTAGAGGGCAAGAACATCTGGATGCTCTTTTGGGGTGTCTCAGA